TTCCCACACCTGCCAGAATCACAACGGGTCCCAATCCTACTGGGAGAGGGAGGAGGGAACTCAGTTGAACTGGCAGCCCAGTATGTGATCTCCTGTCACAGCCTGAGAACACTGAGTCTGTCTCCCAATAATGCTCCATCCGCCTACAGTATATGTCAATATTTTATAATATGTATTTGTTGTAAATGTCTGTAATATGTCTGTAGATTTTATTTTACTTTTATTTTTTGTTTTGTTTAATGTAAATATCATTACTTTTATTTGCTTTGGCAAAACTGATTGTACCCAACGGTCATGCTAATAAAGCACCTTGAATTGAAATTGAATTGACTGAACAACACTGTCAGAGAGTGGAGCACAAACACAGTGTCACAGGCAGACACACTGAGAGACTGAACAACACTGTCAGAGAGTGGAGCACAAACACAGTGTCACAGGCACACACACTGAGAGACTGAACAACACTGTCAGAGATAGAGCTCAAATAGTCTCACAGGCAGACATACTGAGAGACTGTGAACAACATTGTCAGAGAGTAAAGATCAAACAGTGTCACAGACAGACACACTGAGAGACTGAACAACACTATCAGATAGTGGAGCTCAAACACAGTGTTGCAGTCTGACAAGCACATGGACAAGAGGACCACAGGCAGACAGGTAAATGGCAGGCAGATGGTGACAGAGGTAATGACAGGTGGAGGATGTGTATCTTGGCAGTGAGTGGCAGTGTGCCTATGAGATGTGTGTGTGGCTCTCCAAGGGTCCTCACCTCATCTAATTGCAATGTGGGCTCCATTGTCTGCTGCCTGTCCTTCAGGTAGCCACACAGGAACTCCCGGACTTGACTCAGCTCTGCTGCCCAGATCTCCTGGGAACACAGACGTGGAGTCACACACACAGGAAGGTGTCCAGGCCCCCTAAACTGATCCCATCACTGAGATATGCTAAGAAGCCAAAGCTGTGTTGAGAAGGCATTGTCCTTTTGCATGCCCAACGAATAAGGTCTTGCATTCTAAATTAAGCTCAATTGCAGCATCCTCTTTCCACAAACCCCAGCAACTGAGCTCTGGAAAGCGAAAAGGCACCCAAATTAACAAAGGCACTGAAAACTAACAGCTGAGACATAAGAAATTCTACTCTACCCTTATGTTTTTCATGGTGGAATGCCCTCTGGAGACTGCAGTTTTCTAATAACTGGTGTGATCTCTTCTTAATTTAAAGCAAGTATTCAGACTCCACCCCCACAATTAAGCTTTTTATAAATTCTAGTAAGTCTGTGATAATGATCATAATATCTTTATAATTTTTTTTTATTCTATAGAACTGAAATCCTACTTCTGTTGTGCTGTTGCCTTGCACCATAAAGTCCTGTGAGCGAGCACTCAAACTGTGCTAGATAAAACTGATTGATTGCTTGATCATGGTACCTTCTGATCCAGCTGCAAGAATTTCTGGAAGTCATAGAGTGAGATCTGGCATAGTTCTGGACGGTCTACATTCCTGTTTACACATAAGACACACAGGGACAGTAGAGGCCACATTTACACACTTCCAGATATTGGCAGGGCATCAGTGCATCAAGAGCTAATTCCACCCAGACAAAACAGAGACCAGTAGATAGAGTGACTTCCTCACATTCAGGACACAGAGCAGAAGAGAGTGACACTGTAGAGAGAGAGAGAAGAGCAAAGGACAGAAAAGACAGCTCACAGGAAAAAAGAGGCAGGAAGAGAGCAAAATAAACCCACAGACGGCATGTTGAAGCAAGATGCCAATTTCAGGAAGGAGAGGTCAAGCCAAGTTCTCTCCATATTGCACTTTTTTCCTTGTCTGCAGTGAAGGACACCGAGGTTCTACATTTTCCACTCCAAAAATGGTTTAATCTATCTTTTCCACACCTGCACTATTTTTTTACTACATTTAACAGTTGCAACATTAACAGCAACTTTAAAAAGAGGAGTTTTGCAGGAAATTTCACTTCAATTTCATAATTTGAGGACTTCTGTCACAGCATTTATGTGTAACATTTCAATAATAATAATAGTAATAATCACCATCATCAACATCATCATCATCATCATCTTTATTTTTTAGACTGTGCCTTTAAAACTGGTTTCTCAAAGCACTTTACAGAACAAAAATGCCAACAAAAATGCACTGAGAGGAGACAGTAGATGTTAGTATGGAGTACAGTAGGAAAGCAAAGGGGCACACAGAACCAGTTTAATAACAGTCCTTCTAAAGAAGGAGGGTTTGAGTCTAATTTTGAAGGAGCTGGGGGAAGGTGACTCTGATATCTTTAGGGAAATAGTTACTAAAAGGCAGGGACAACATTATCAGAAACTGAAATTGTGCCATGTGTTCAAGTGCTGTATTTTTTATACTGTAGTTCTAATGCCTGTGCTACGATCACATCAAAGCACCCGTTCGTTTAAAATAACAGAGGGTGACTGCAATTGTATTCAGATGATAAAACTTCCTGCAAAACTGCTTTGATTCAAAGCACCACGGGGGATACACCTTGCTTGTATCTTCTTTGGCAATAAAATAACACTAATTTCAAACCTGGGAGGTAAGGGAGGCCAAGAAAGTGAGAGTCATGTTCCCAATCTTTTTGAATGGTGGTATTTCACAATTATATTCCTGGTACAGGACAGTATGGGTGAAAGATAGGAGGGGAGTGAGAGAGAGAGAGAAAAGATAAAGAGAATGGCAGGGGGTGCTGAGGGACTCACCGCAGGGGGAAGGACAGCTCCAGCTGCTCGATTACCTGGGGGGACAGGAGGAGAGTCACAGCAAGGGACTCAAGCATGTAACACCCCTATACTCACCCACGTTCCCTGTCCCACCTCCCTTCCACTACTCACTGAAATCCCACTATGGCATGTGCTGTATATTTGCCATACAGTGCAAAGTCCTATAAGAGAGTCCTCCCTGGAACTTCAGAACTGAGCAGGTTTTTAAACAGTAACTATCTCTTGTTCCAGTGTTAGTGTATCTCAGGGTATCTCACAGGGTATTCCAGTGTGTCAGTGTATCTCAGGGTATCTCATAGTGTATTCCATTGGTCAGTGTATCTCAGGGTATCTCAGGGTGTATTCCAGTGTGTCAGTGTATCTCAGGGTATCTCACAGTGTATTCCAGTGTGTCAGTGTATCTCAGGGTATCGCACAGTGTATTCCAGTGTGTCAGTGTATCTCAGGGTATCTCACAGTGTAGGTTTCAGGCAGTATATTCCAGTGTCTCACTATGTCTCAATGAATCTCAGTGGGTTTCAGGCAGCCTATCAAGGTGTCACTGACTCACACTCTTCTGTGCGTCGAACATGAGGGTCCTGTACAGCTGACAGAAGTGGGGGAAGGATAGGTCACAGCGTGCCTCCACCTCCTGAAAAACACGCATAGTGCAAGGGGTTGCAATTTACGCAAAGTGATTCAAGCACAGCCTCTGGGATTTGCCAGATCTATGAAAAACTGCTATTTACAGAGACTAGCCTTGAGTGAGGAGAAGCACGCCTTGTTCTAGAACCACACAGCACTAGTGAATCTGGGATTCCAAATCATGGGACTGCCTTTTCCCTTATAGAAGGTGTCTGTTCACTTAATCTTCAAAACATACATTTCACTGGTTTTATTGGGGTTGCCTACAGTATGCCAGGTTGTGAGAAGCTACTGTTCAGCAGTGTTCATCACATCACAGCATTTGTTTAAAAAAAATTGAGATAGTAAGTTTATGGTCAGTTTCACTAGTATTTTTTTTAGCACCAGGAATGGCATCAGCACGTATCCTGCAAGTCTGCAGAATGCTCATTTTCATTTCAATTCAATTCAATTCAATTAAACTTTATTGTCATTAAACTTACGTACACAGGTGCATAGTATAATGAAAAGTGTTTCTCATTAGTCACTCAGGTGCAGTATATAAATAGGACAGAAGATAAGACAATAGACAGTAACACAATAGCAATAACAGTAACATGTAATAACATAACATAAATAACATTTCAATGGGTTTTTGCTGTGCTGAACATATTATCTTCTTAATGGGTTGAAAGGCAAAAGCTTTTACCACCCACACAACATTCCAAAACGTTTTTAGTTTTTGAAAATCTTTAGATAGTATGTTTGAAGAGGAATACTCAGAGGATTGCTGACAACACACCAGAAACCTGCCTCTGGCACATATTTACACATGTACTGTAAATCTAGTGCTTAACAGGTACAGTCCTCTGTGTCTCTCCATCTCCCTGTCCTTCACATGACACTAGAGCTCTGCTGTCCAGAATCTAGGGATCACAGTGTGAAACTACAGTAATTAAATGGTTTGATAAGGCACTTAGCTCAAACTGCCTCACTCTGAAAAGGCCATCAATCTCTCTGCACAGTACCTGTAGTTTATCCCTGAGGAAGCGCATATTGGGCACTCTGTAGTTGATCTGAGGCAGCAAGGCCTTCACATCCTTCACTGTGATGCTGGAACACAGAGAAAGACAGACAATGTTGCCCCCAGGGGCAAACCTGGAAACATTTCTCAAAAATACATATTGTTACTATTACTGTTATCATTGTAATTATTATTTCTAGACCGATTGTGCACCACAGAAAACCGCCCACTACTTAATCCCCACAAAATGTTTCAAATGCAGTGCAAAGCAGGGGATGAGCTCGGAGCCCTGTTGTAGGTGAAACCTCTTAGATAGTGAAATAATACAAAGCTCTGAAAACATCTTATTTTTACAGGAGCATTTGGGTTAGTCAGTGTGTGATATATATGTTCAGGTGGGTAGCTGCGTCAGCATGCGTAGGCTGCAAAGGAACAAGTAATAGGTTAATTCCATGCTGAAAAGAGAAAAAAGAAAACACAAGGTTTTGTCCGTGGAGCCTTCTTCTGGTGTAAGACACCTGGCAGTGTGAGACACCAATGGCAGTCCCATGATCTGGAATCCCAGATTCACCAGTGCTGGTTCTAGAACAAGGCGTGCTTCTCCTCACTCAAGGCTAGTCTCTGTAAATAGCAGGTGTCTCACACCTGAAGAAGGCACCACGGCCGAAACGTTGTGTTTTCTTTCTTCTCTTTTCAGCATGGAATAAACCTATTACTTGTTCCTGTGTGATATATATGGCTAAGTTGTCAGACACTGATGAGAGTGTGCTCTCTTTATGTTTGCTCAATGTGAATTGTACAGATCTCTGATGTACTAGTAAAAGTCATCATTGATCTATACAATCCAAGCAAACTTCTTGGTGCTGGTTCACCTACAGAGTCTGTAGATGGAGCTGTCTGGCCCATTGTGGTCCTGGAGGGGCAGTGGGAGTGCTATGCCGTGATTACCCAGACACTCCTCATGCACCCTTTGATTGAGTTTCTATTTATATTTCCAACTCTGAGGACAGGAAGTTGTTCTCTCCCACCCCCACATCACTTCCTGTCCCTCCAGGCTGCCTGTTATCACGTCCTGTCAGACATCCTGTTTGTGTGGACTCAAGTGCACGCCCACTTCCCCCCACAGCGGAAGGTGCCAGGGTGGGTGATGTGGTTGGACACACTGGACTGAGGAACATCCTCAGTGAAACAGTCTTGCATGTTAGTCTCCCACAGCCCCTATCCCCATTCTCTCTATCCCAGTCCCCGATACTCCCGTTGGAGTTCCACTATATCCTGTAAAATTTCTTCTCAGCATTAATCAACAATTAACTCATATATACTATTTAAGAGCTGGGTGTGATACTGTAATGGATTGTACAGTCTGATAGGTGACTGGTCTAAACCCTAGACTTAAACTCCTATACAGTATATGACTTTCCATACATACCAGTAGCTTTGATACTCTGTCTCATTTCCCTAATACTGAGTCCCCTATCAATCTAGACTGCAAAAACTTTATGCTAGTTCTCTGTTCCCTTCAGCCCACTGCCTTGTCGCCATGAGTCTCGCTCCCGGTTCCCCATGTAGATCCAAGTTCCAGGGTTGAAGTTCAGCTGACAGGACCCACCTGCCCTCTTTGTTTCTGTCCATGGCGTCAAACTGTTTCCGCAGCCACCTGCAACAGAGCAAGTGTACAGTCACACAAAACAAGGTGGCTTAAATGTGGCAGCTTTAGCTAACTCCATTTCTATTGGTGCTGTCCTGCCACAGGCCATGTCCTGCCCCTCTGTTAGTGGCCCAATTAAGACTGTCCTCCGTCTGTGGTGAAGTCAGATTCCGCCAAAGCTTCATTACTTTCAAAGTTTCTTCTTTCTCTATTATTCCTCAGATAGCTTGGCTGTTGATGTCAGAATCTCTCATTAATAAATAATGTTAGCTTTCCAATCAGCTTTGTACTGTATAACTAGAATACCTATTAAAGGTTTCATGATTCTTTCCAGGGACCAGACAGTTTTATTCTAAGCCGCTGGCCAGCAGTTTAACTTGGTCCAGGAGTACTGTGCTCAGGTGTCAAACCTGAAGAAGGCTCCAAAGCCTAAATGTTGTTTCTTTTCTTCTCTTTTCAGTATGGAATAAACATTTACTTGTTCCTTTCCAGCATATTACTACCTATTCCATTCAAATTTTTTTCATCTGGTATACAATAATACACTGCAATACACTGCTTACTGACCCTTCTAAGACCACTGTAAACGTCTATATGTTCAAAACTCACTTGCTAGAATCTTAACTATATCCCAGAACGAACATGGGTATCACTCCTGTTCTAGCCTCCCCGCATTGGCTTCCAATGTTCTTTATTATTGACTTCAAATCCCTCTCTTGACATGATAAAACAGAGAAATCAAGCTCCTGATTTTTTCAGCTACTGTATTATGCTCATATATTTTTTCACTACAAACTCAAAAAGTTATTATTAGGGACATTACAAAATCTTTTTTGTAGCGAGTGCACTGACATTTTATTGAACAACCAAAACTATGGCAAATATTTTTTCGATTAACATTTGTTATCAACAAGATTCATCATAAGGGAGTCAAATGTAAAAGTAATAGGTTATTTCCATGTGTCACCAATGTCACAAGCAATAAAATCTATAATTCTGTGACACATGCTTTTCACCAGGTTTCTGATGCCATCTTGAGGGCTTCTGCCCCATTCATGTTATAGAGCTTAGGCAAGCATGTACCTCTTCACAGGTCTCTGAGTCCTAGACACCACACAGTCCCGTTTCACCCCTCAGATCCTCAGATGTTTAACAGGGATCAGGTCAGGTGAATGGGGCTACCACAGTGTGCATGTCACATTCTTTTCTTGCAAGAAAGCCACTGTTGCACAAGCAGCATGAGAACATGTGTTGTCCTGCTACATACACTGTTGACATGCCAGGATGAGCCCATAGTACAGAAACAAAGTGAGGTCCCAGGCCTGTGCAGTCATTCAGCCATTATGGACTATAAGAGGAGGTCTAAAGGAACCAAATACTCCTGGCCTGACCATCACATTTGAACCTCTCCTTCGATTAGTCTGTTGTACATTACAAATAGCATATTATTCGGTACATCTGAATGTTATGCTACAGAAACCTTGTAGTGAGTCCACCTGAAGTGACTCAGTCCCATCTCCAATGTTCTGACAGCACCAAGGTATTATTATTGTGAATAAGTAGGGCTTATCGGTTCCTTTTTTTATTCTAATTCTTTGTTTTCACCAGTCTTGACATTCAACAGGATAATTGGGTCAAGTGTCACCCCTGTCCCTAATTTTGTGATTTAGTGCAAATACAAAGGTCACAAACACTTGAGTTTCATAACTGTCCGTCACACTTAATCAATTGATCAAAATGATGTCAAAAACATTTAATCAATATCCCAAATCTCTATACTTTTTTTCTGTAAAAAGTATACAAGCATGAATAAAGGCCCTATGTTTCTTTTGATGCTCAGTATACGGTATATACTCTGAATTCCATTCAACTGCAGCTTCAGTTACCTGCTGAGCCAACACCCTTTCCATTTTCCTGATCTGAACTGATCTCCCAATGGTTTTCAACAAACCAGACATAAACGGACAACGTTATGGTGGGTCACTGGTAAACACTGGAGAACGACAACACTATAGTGGCTTTCTTAAGCACTTTGTATTTTCTGTTTTCACACACTTTCCTCTAGTTTTTATTTCTGTCCTCAACTAGCTGGCAAGTCAGTCAGCCATCACCTCTTTTCAACAAAGGCTGACAGTTATGGTGTCATATTAGACCCACAAACCTGGTGTTTTCGTAGTCTGGAGTACTTACTGTTTTCTGAGGAATCCTAAATTTCTCATTGTGACATGGCTTTCTTGGCAGAAACATTTAGAAATTCTAAAACATCAAAAACTCAAAGTAAATGTTATTCATGTTAAAGTTCATACTGAATCTGGGGGAGTATTGTTGAAGTGTGTTAATTTTCATACACAATATACAATGAACAGCTGAATTATTGGGACAGTGAAGCAAAAACAACATTTGCCATTTTTGCACTGTACTGCTGAAATGTGTGTTTCATATCAAAAGATAAATATGAGGCTAAAATACAGAATGACAGCTTTTAATTGAAGATATTTTATACATACTGTATGTTAAACCATATTATGACAAAGAATATACATTCATAGCTTTTTTATGTTTTCACAATTAATGTGGCCTCCTAACAATCCCCCTCTATGAATTGGCTTCATTACTCTGCTCTCCTCCCCACTGATAGCTGATGTGTGGTGAGCGTTCTGGCGCACTATGGCTGCCGTCGCATCATCCAGGTGGATGCTGCACATTGGTGGTGGTGGAGGGAAGTCCCCATTATCTGTAAAGCGCTTTGAGTGGAGTGTCCAGAAAAGCGCTATATAAGTGTAAGCAATTATTATTATTATTATTATTATTATTATTATTATTATTATTATTATTAATAATAAAGACCTGTCAGCCATTTGTCCCAATACTTATGCTCACCTGGAACAGGGACTGAAAACAACAAAATACATTTTTCTCATATTAATCTCGTGGTCTGACATACACATTTCATTACAAATTTAACTTCACTGTCCCTAAACTTACACTTATCACTGTCTGCTCAGGATCTGTTACTCTGAATTTTGAGAAATTGTTTCCAGCTGCAGGCGAAAGTGTAAAGTGGCCTCCCCAGTTGCTCAGCTGGAAAGGGCATTTGCCCGACCACAGGCTAAGCTGTATGAGTAAGGGTTCAAGTCAGGGTCAAGTCAGCTGACTGTGACTGGGATTCTTTAAACAGTGGGAAGCGTTGGGATGGGATGACATTAGTCATTCAGGGCTCTGTTGGCACTCTGATACACAGGGCTGACGTGCTGTTAGTGAAGGTCATACAGTACCTCTCCTTCAATAAGCACTTAGCCTCCAATAGGCTGTGCAGACTATGACTCTCCAAGGTAGGTGGGGAAGAAGAGTCTCCCTACACTTTCTCTATCTACCCTGTGTGGGGCTTTTAGATACGAGGTGCAACACGAAAACACAAAACTGATAATTCCAATATTTGGCATTAAGAAAATACTTTTGACTGTGAAGAAGAGGATTGAGAATTTGCTGGAACCCCGAGACTGTGGCCTCCTCTGTCCTGTGGGTTCTTTAGCCCTTCTGCTGCTCTGCCAGGGGAGGCAACCCTGACTCTCCCCTCCTTCGCAGTTCCCAGCAATCCTGCGTTTAAGCTCATCCTCAGCAGCTGAGGTCATCTCCAGCAACGGGCCAACTCAGCAATTTAGACGCCTTTCTTTATAAAATCCACTACAAGGTAAAACCAAAATTCACTGAACTGTACAATTTAAATCATTTTCTTCTGTTTAACAGCAGTTCAAGTGTATATGGCTGTATCATCCTTTCTAACTTGGGTGTTTGCTAGAAAACAACTTCTTAACAATGTACAGGGGCTGAATTAAATATTCCATATCATTTATATTACAACAACAACAATTTCTCTGATTTTCAAGATTTGTTTTCTTTAAAATAGCCTAGTTCTAAATAATCCTAACTTAAATTGAAAGGGGTCAGTGAGCTTTTAAATATAACTGTCCGTGAGTGTATAATGGAGTCCAGAGCCCGCTGTGCCATTAATAATTCACACACATTTGGTAGCAGAGCTGGGGGGAGGAGGCGAGTAAGAAGGCAGAGGGAAGGAGAGAGTTTTGATTTTCTCCTTGTAGCTAGTGAGCAGACATACAGTAGCTGTTCTTTTCTCACTGTCCTCACTGGGGCGAAGGGTGGCAGAGGACAGACTGTGAAGGAAGCAGAAGAGGGTCTGAAGAGAACCATACAGCAGAGAAGACAGGGGTCGTAAGGCCTGGGCATCTTACCTCTCGATCTGATAGGGGGCTGAGGCCCTCTGGGTGTCCATCACCAGCCAGTTTAGCCCAGTCAGCCACATATTCACCTCTTCCTCACTGAATGCTGCCAATAGGGAGAGATAGGAAGAGGAACATTCCTATTTAATCTAATATTCACAGAAGGAAGAGCAGTAGAACCAATAATAGTTCTCCTCGGATTTACTTATTTATTCTTTGTTTTTAGGTTCTTATGTCAGTTTTCATAAATAATGCTTCATTTTAATGAATGTGACCTGCCAAGAAAGCATTTATGGAACATGTCTCTGAACGGAAGAGAGAAGAGAGGGACAGATGCACAGACTGACCGGCAAGACTCAACGTCTTCAGGCGGAACTCCAGGCCATACAGCACGACGAAGCAAGTTGAGGGATCCAGCCTGCGCGCTTCCTCGGGATACCGCTCAAAATCCCGGGAACACTTCCCCGGGCGTAGCTCTTTAATCTCCCGGATGTCAACTGAGAGAGAAGGAGAAGGTGACGGAGGAGGTGAAAGGAGGGCAGAGAGAAGGAAAGAAGGGGAGAGGAGAGTATAGCATAGTATTAATCATAATAATTCCTCACGCTTATGTAGCGCTCTTCTGGACTCTCCACTCAAAGTGCTTTACAGGTAATGGGGATTCCCCTCCACCACCACCAATGTGCAGGACCCACCTGGATGATGCAACGGCAGCCATAGTGCACCAGTAAACTCACCACACACCAGCTATCAGTGGGGAAAAGAACAGAGTGATGAAGCTAGTTCAGAGATGGGGATTTGGCCAGGACATCAGGGTTACACCCCTCCTTTTATCAAGAAAGATCCTGGGATTTTTAATGATCACAGAGAGTCAGGACCTCATTTTCCTGTCTCAACCAAAGGATGGAACCTTTTTACAGTACAATTTTTTTTATTTATTTTTTTACCAATTGCACAGTGAGCACCCCCTACTGGCCCCACTAACACCTCTTTCAGCAGCAACTTTAGTTTTTCCCAGGAGGTCTCTCTTCCAGGTACTAACCAGGCTAATATCTGCTTAGTTTCAGTGGGCTACCAGTTGTGAGTTGCAGGGTTATGTGACTGCATTCTAGAAAAACATTTTTTAAAATGGGTTCATAACACTGTTTCTGTAATTTTGCATCCTTTTTGTCCAGTGTACAAGTTAGTGGGTCATCACTAGTTGTATAACGCCATTTTTTCTAGCTTGGTGTTTGTGGGGGACAGCTGTGCTATAGTTTCAGGGAGCCGTGTCTAGGATACGCAGAGATTAGACCTTATTTGCCTCCCCTCATCTCTAAGGAAGCTGTTAGCCCACTTGTTGTGTGTCTATGTGGTAGAGCAAAGTCTTTATTTAGGCCGACCAGGGCACTTAAGGAAATTTGCAATCTGTGTTATATTTTAAAGATATAAAAATATATCGTGCAAAGTATGTTCATTTTCCCCACCCAAGATTTATGGTAAACAGAAATCTGTCTGGGGCAGAATCTAAGGTAAAAATGCTTACTGTATGTTTCAGAGCTGATGTGTGAGAGAATAACCGCATCTCTTTATGCTCAGTTTCTTTATTCCAAATCTGCCCTGAAATAAGACTGTACTATGCCTCCTTGCACTCCTACAGATACTAGACTCATAACTGGAAGGTTACAAGTTCAGATCCAGGGTGGGGCACTGCTCTTGTGTCCTTGAGTAAGGTACTACACTCACATTGTTCTAGTAAAATGTACAGTTTAATGTGGTATAGTATGTGCGGAATAATAGGGAACAAAGGCTTAGAAAGGCTGTGAAGCTTAGAACAAACAGAGAAACTAAGTAAAAACTCAATTTTTCAGCTCCAGAAGCATTTTTCAAGCATTTAGTTTTTGATGTGTACGTGAGAGGCTGAGGTGTAGAATACCAGGGTACTGTCCATACGAAAACTACTATGATTGTAACTGGCACTCTCTTTGGGGGTTATCACACCCCACATGTAGCCTCAGAGGCTCACTCTGAATGCAAACTGCAGTGTGGTGTTCACTCTGCGGAGAGGGGCATTGGCTGTCATCTGCCCTTCATTGACAAGGTTTACAATTCCAGGGTAAAGTAGACGGCAAGCAAGATTGCTGATAACCACTCCCGACCTGGTTACCACCTGTCTCATAAACTTCCCTCAGGAAGATGTTACTGGTCTATTAAAACCAGCACCACCCAGTATCTGAACAGCTTCTTTGCTAGGGCTGTCTTTTTGTTTAATCAGAATTCCTAGTCATACAGTATGTGTCCTGTATTAATGATGTCTATCGTCTTGTTTGTGTATGGTATATGTTTGTGAATGGTACATGTAGAATGGATGATGGATGAGACGTAAAACCGATATCCTGACTCTCTGTGGTCATTAACAAAATCCCAGGGTGTTTCTCGAAAAGAGTAGGGGTGTAACCCTGGTGTCCTGGCCAAGTTTCCCATTGGCCCTTACCAATCAGGGCCTCCTAATAATCTCCATTTATGAATTGGCTTCATTACTCTGCTCTCCTCCCCACTGATTTGTTGTGAGCGTTCTGGTGCACTATGGCTGCCGTCCCATCATCCAGGTGGATGCTGCATATTGGTGGTGGTGGAGGGGATCCCCATTACCTGTAAAGCGCTTTGAGTGGAGTGTCCAGAAAAGCGCTATATAAGTGTAAGCAATTAGTATTAGTATTAGTA